AAGAGGAAGAAGAGGAAGAAGAGGAAGAAGAGGAAGAAGAGGAAGAAGAGGAAGAAGAGGAAGAAGAGGAAGAAGAGGAAGAAGAGGAAGAAGAGGAAGAAGAGGAAGAAGAGGAAGAAGAGGAAGAAGAGGAAGAAGAGGAAGAAGAGGAAGAAGAGGAAGAAGAGGAAGAAGAGGAAGAAGAGGAAGAAGAGGAAGAAGAGGAAGAAGAGGAAGAAGAGGAAGAAGAGGAAGAAGAGGAAGAAGAGGAAGAAGAGGAAGAAGAGGAAGAAGAGGAAGAAGAGGAAGAAGAGGAAGAAGAGGAAGAAGAGGAAGAAGAGGAAGAAGAGGAAGAAGAGGAAGAAGAGGAAGAAGAGGAAGAAGAGGAAGAAGAGGAAGAAGAGGAAGAAGAGGAAGAAGAGGAAGAAGAGGAAGAAGAGGAAGAAGAGGAAGAAGAGGAAGAAGAGGAAGAAGAGGAAGAAGAGGAAGAAGAGGAAGAAGAGGAAGAAGAGGAAGAAGAGGAAGAAGAGGAAGAAGCATTCAATAATAGCTAACCAGTTACGAAATTCCTTAGTTTTTGTAACGAGTGAATATTTGCGGGACGAGCAGAGCGAGCTCTTGCAACATGAACGAGTTACATGAAACGGTATTTCTTAACGTGTTACATACAATATTTTTCTAATTTTGATAAGATTTTTACTAAATTTGATCAAAAATTACTGATATCTAGGCAACCAATATTTCTTTCTTGTATTGTTAGCTGCATGTGCATAACTTTATTCGTTTTATTGACAAATAGAAAATTATATTAATTTATTCACAGCGACTTGTAGTGTGTTGATATTGCTTGTTAAAGTTATTTAGTTTTCAAGAAAGTAGGTTATGTTGCCATTCTTTGATATAAACTTTCAATAATAATGTATATATTGATTTTAAAACCAAAAAAAGGTTTATTTTCATTTGTTTTCTTTTAGCAATTGGTGACATAATGAATTTTTGGTAACCATTCACAATGTTCTACGTTATGCAACTGGTTGCGTAAAGTAGGTAGATTATTTTAAACTTGCTACCCACATAACATCAATGTTCTATGAATATACTAAGAACGTTCTGTTTATGTTCTTTTTAGTATGTCCTTTTTAGAATGTTCTTAGAACATACCTAGTATATACTTTGAAAGTATATTCTAGAAAGTATATGCTGAGTACGTGCCTTAAAAGTATATTCCAAAAAGTATATACTGAGCACGTGCTATAACAGGACATTCTAAGAAGATACTAAAAGTCATATACCCAGCATGTACCTCATATTCTGAGAATGTTCTAAATGCTTGCAGGTAAAAATTAACACCAAATACATGAAAAAAACGTTTATATACATATCTATATGAATATATAAATTTTTCCCAGATGCCGATCTATTAATTCGTTAGCAAACGCACTAATGTTTAGGCCAAAAACAACCTTAATAAAAGATAAGAAGAAGAATAACATAACCTACAATTCCTACAAATTCGTTTCAGTAAGTAAATTAGTAAAAATTAATTGCATCGTGTGTTCTATATAAAAATAAACAAATTTTACAATATTTTTAGTTTTTAGGACCTATAAGTGATGTTAGAACACAGGATATCCCAAATATTAATTGCCAGTGTGAATTTATTAATATGGTTAATACTAATGGCGGATTGAAACTAAAATTTAGTGTTACCAGAATTACATACACACTTTTTATGAAAAAAATCCTGTAAGGCCAGAATTTGACCTGGAAGAACTAGAAAATTAGCTAAAGGAGGAGGAAAACTACAAAATGGTGATAAGTAATTAACAAAAATATATTTAAACTTTCACTAAACATAATAATCATTTATGTAACTCTTGTTTTTGTTAGTGAAATGCCATGTATAATTTTTAATGTTTCACGTTCGACAAAAATATTCCATTAGCTATGTACAGTTAATTTGTATATGTACCAAATTTGTTGATTTTTTTTTATTTTTTAGATTGAATGAAGATCCAATGGAATCAAGCAAATGAAACTCAAGCAATTGATACAATGAAATATTGGTTGGTTAAGGCCAAAGAAAGAATTTGTATTAAAAATAAGAATAAGTATGAATTTTTTGAAATAAAGATTTCATTATATACACTTATTCTTTATTGTTCAATATTAATGAAACATCCTGTATTAGGGTGTCCAGTATATGCCTAGCATATGCTATATTTAAATACTAAGCATATACTTAGAACGTACTATCAAATTAAAGTAGATACCTATTGTATACTGTGCACATACTCGAGTACATTCTCAGCATCTGCATAGCACGTATAAACAACGTCACGTAGCATATTCTTGGTATATTCTGAGAATGTTCCAAATGCAAATAAAGTATATTCTCAGCATATGCACATTCTTAAAAAGCATATACTGAGAATATGCTAAGAATGCATATTTGTTATCTGGGTACGATTTCAAAAAATGTCACTTTATGTGTCAAAATTGGAAAAAAATATTAATATTATAGCTAGTGAAATGACCAGATACTTTTCTTGTGGAAAAGTGGCTTTTCATCAAATTTTTTGAATTGTTGATATGTCGTAGAACTCAATGCTCTGACAAAAGTATCCATTGGCTTAAATATCGGAAGTGCCACTTTTTTATGATCAGATGTCTCATAACTGACCCGTTTTATTCGCGTTTGTTGGAGGAAACCTGAATTATAGATTATTTGACATTAATATTTTATAAAAAGTTACAATAGGAATTGGTTAATTACAGGTGGTTCGGAATAATAATTTTTTAATGACATTGTTAAAAATATGAACAAATATCATTGCACTGCGAGGGGCGCGAACAAGAAGATGAGACCATCGAGCATATCTTCTGCACCTCTTAGCGACGTTGTCAGCTACATTAAATCTGTAGGCTGGATCACGAGCTAGGCAGTGCCTATCTACTTAGGAGGATGCACAATGGGCCTAGTGAGGCCTAAGTGCCGTGGGTTACCCCACCCTCCACACGTTACAGAAACATAGATAATTGCATTACGAAAATATAGTTATTGCTTTTTGGCGATGCATCATATTTTAAGCAGGGTGACTCATACATGTGGTTATAGAGTCACCTCGTTTAAATAAAATATCTTTAATTTTTTGTATTATATTAAATAAATGTAAAACCTGTCACTTTATGTTATACCGCCGATTGCAAAAAACTTTTAAAATTTTAAAAGCTGTTTTTGTGCAACACCTTGTATTTTAAAAGTTTATCGGTCAATTTTAAAAATTATTACATTTTTTTAAATTGTGAATTTAATATATCATAGATCGCAAATCGTAAGTATTAGAATAATTTGAAAATAGAATAATTTGAAAATTCCGAAACAAATCTAAAAATCCCTCTACGAATTATTAAGACCATCTCCGAACCCCAAAGGTGAAAACAAATACTTGGAGATTTGAAAACAAAGCCTGTCGTAGGCGAGATTCGAACCCAGATATCTTTGTTCTCCAGACAAATGCCTGTACAACAATTTGATTTATTAGTTCGAGTCGGACGCCGTTTCAGGCTCGTTCTAAAATCTTCAAATACCTCTCTACAGCATTGGTATATATGAAAAATGCATTGCCGCATACTAAGCCCATATCTTCGTCTGCGTGAGTTAAGTTTTCAATATACGTTGAGCGACGTAAACCTGATATATTAAATTTACAATTTTTATAATTTTGTTTTGTAACGTGAATCAAAGCGTCAGTCAACGTTTCTGGATCAAGAAGACCATAGGGATCTAGTACAAACTGCAATTAATAAAATAGAAAAAGCTGAAAAGCGGAATATCTTGCCTAAGATCTTCTTAAAAATACAAGAGTATGTTTCAATTGTTTTCAAACAATTACAGAAGAATTAAGGCAAGTCGAATATAATCCAAATCGTCTCAGATTCGAACGTTATTTTTTTATTTCAAAAGCATCGTTTTTAACTATATGTACTTATTAATTTTGGATACAAATTTTAGGATAACTGGTCATAGAATTATAACAAAATTTTGTTCAGTTATATACTGAACTTTTAATAATGTAAATATGTATTAATTTATAAAGTTGATGGAGAAACTTTTAAATACTGGGTGTTGCACAAAAAACTGCTTTTCTATTTTAAAGTGTTTGCAATGGGTTTAACGCCCTGTATGATATAGAATGACAGGTTGTTCATTTATTTAATGTAAAACAAAAATTTCAGTATACGACGTTTATTCGGGGTGACTCGTTAAAGCTGTTAAACAATATATGCCCTCTGTAACCACATTTATCAGTCACCCTGTATAAAATATAATGCATCACCAAGAAACAATCAGTTAAACTATATTTGCATGGTGCAATCATATTTGTTAATATTTTTAACGCTGTCATAAAAAAATATTTTTTCACAAAACCATATTACCATTGTATAAATTACAATGATATTACTTATTTCCGAACCACCCTGTAATCAATTTATTTCTACAGCAACTTTTTGTAAAATATTATTGTCATATTTTTTACAACAAACGCTAATAAAAAAAAGGTTACAAAAAGTGGCAATTCTGATATAAACCCTGTATCTCGAAAACTAGTCATATAATCGGTTTGGGCCAAAGGACACTTTTTGTCAAAACACTGAGTTCTACAACATATCAACATTTCAGAAAATTTAATGGAAAAACATTTTTCCATAAGAAAGGCGCCTAATCCTTTGCCGAGCCACCTCGAGTTTGCCAAAATATAAACTTAAAAGAATGTAAATATGTTTAATCACAACCCAATAATGTATAAGAAAAGTATAAGTACTCCTTAAAAAAATTCAAGTGAAAACCTTCACAAAATAAGCGAACACCTATTAAACTCTGAACACTGACATTTACTTACGTCTTCTTTTGTAACCTTTACATGAAAAAAGAAGTATTTTTAATAACGGTATTTAAATCAAAAAATGAATTAATTTAGAATCATAGAAAACGAAGAGAAAAATAAAAGAAGAATTACCTCTACAGCACCCCTCCATTTATCAGCAGCATGCCTCGCTAATTCCATCCGTTTCTGTTTTTTAATCTGATGCTTCTTATACGCCATTTCTATCACTATCAGTCCAATCCCACCAACTATACCGGCCCCCACTAATATGAAAACCCCCGCCATGTTTTTCAATCCCAGGGTGTTCGGCGTTTTTTCAAATTGTTCGCATTGCTGATAATTGCCTTGCAAAATCCATTTATTGTCTAAACTTTCCATAAAACCACCTAAAAAGATAAATAGAGAGCCTTTGGATGAGTTTTAAGAAACTGGTATAGATAATTACTTTCATGAAAATCAAGTATAGCTAAAGTGACGTCATCAGACCAAGGCGATCCTTTTTGTAAACCGATTCCATATCCAGATCGTCCAAAAAGTTCTCCAGCAGTCACCAGTTCGCAATCTTGAGCTGCTTCGAATTCCAATCTGGAACTGTCCCATATGAACGCCATGAGTTTCCTAAAAGTTAAATGATAATTTACAAGTTATAATATGTAGTACTTATTAGAGTCTAAACTATTATTGTATAAAGAGTCTTTTGGATCAGTTATTTTGTTTTTAAGGAGATAACCCTTTTGGTATTCATTTACTTATAAATTATAATCTTTGGGTTCAACTTTAGTGCTTTAAATATCAGTGTTTTTAAAATGCAATACATTTCTTATGGGGCTTATTTTATGTAAAAAGGGAACTGGATGTCATGATTTCAAAATATTGCCATATTACTGTCATTTAATCAAATAAATAATTTAAACGTTTTTTTTTAACGTCTATTAAAGGATTTTATTTAAGTTTTTATTCATTGTAAGTGAAAGTGATAAGTGAAAATAACCATTTTGACTTGAAATAAATGTGGATCTTACTCGAAGAACCTAAGGGATTGTGAAGAAACGATGATGTTTGAACGAGCTTTAACGAATTCCAGATGTAAATAAAATAAATATTTTTAGTTTAATAGACTTATGGGGTAAAGGGTTGAAAAGTAAATGGCGGTCAAATATTTTTACTTGTAGGTACAGGCGTAAGCGCTAAAGTTATTATATTTTGATATTAGTGGCTTTAAGGGATATAGGGGAAAATTATTTTTGAATGGACAGGCTTAAGGTATAATAAAAAAAACCTAGATACCTTATCAAAATTGCTACTTTGAATATCAACTTAATTTACTTTCTGTCAAGTGGTTAATAGTAATGACAATAATAGTAGATATATTGTTACGCAGCACCCTGTAGTAGCCTGCGGCTATTATAGGAAATGTACAGATAGAAAAAGAAGTGGAATGTTACTCATCGCACTACCGTGTGCTGCGGTCGTTATAAGTAAAAGTGCAAGTAAAAGAAGATAGAATAGTCGAGAAATGTCTGGAAATGTCATTACCCGTCAAGAATATTCTAGATGACAGTTCGAGAAGGTTCGAAAAGGATCAAGCAAGCTATATAAGGATGATCCTGACGTCATATTTCGGTTTTATGATAGACGTTACATGTTAATGTTATCAGTTGTATAATTGTTGTTAAAGTTGAGTTGAAATAAATTGCGGTACCAAACACTCGTGTAAAAATATTCAAATAGTCTTTGTAGCTATTGTGAAGTTAAGAGAAACGAAAAGAATTTAAATTCTAATAATTATTGGTTTTGGAGATAAAACACGGACTCAGAAAGATGTATGTAATTTTTAGCAAAATTGAAGAGACGTTCAGATAAACGGATTTGCCCAACGAGAGGGAGGAACAGAGGGGACAAAATCCCCGGTTGCTGGGCCCAATGGGGACAAACAAAATAGATTACAACAGATGGGGGAGTGGGAGGTTGCCCGTGTTTTGCCCCGGGGCCCACTATGGCTCTCGGCGGCCGTGGAAACGGGTCAATTAAAAGACTAGGTAGTAAAAACTAATATCAAAAAACAAGGAACTAGTTGTTCTGCTAGCCTTCGAAGAAAATCACCATACCAATTCACGACAAGTAGCATTAGATAATAGGTCTTAAAAATCTAAAAAAGTAAAAGGAGCATCCTTACAAAGTAAGTTTAATACGGGAACTTTTGTATGATTTTGATAGACCAGTTGAATTTTATGAAATTATAATGAAAAAAATAAGCCTGTTCTTACTCAGGCAGATGCAGGCTTTCGACCTTTTTTGGGAATACTCACCCAGAAGTATCTTAACCTGTCTTATCCCCAAGAGATTGTTCCAATTATCGGTTCTCCTACTGACTGATTATTTTTTAATATTCCCTAATATTGACTTACTGCCGCAAAACGGCTGAAGTCATACAAAGGGTATTTTAGTCCCTTTCTCGTTACCTTTTACCCCGTTGTAATCTCGTTACCTTTTACCCCGTTATGTCCTGGGGACTCAAGTTAGAGTAACTGTATTTTCCTCGCATTGCTCATTCAGTTTTTCCTAGGCATCTTTAGAGCATTTTTGAGCTGATTACATAAGAGCTTAGCGGTATGTTGGCTATCGGATATAATGATAATCTCTTGTCTGCGATAGTTTCTGTCAATGTTGAACTGGATACAATGTCGTTCTGGATCATATCCCAAGTGTCTTCGGTCCTGAAGCTAATAGACTTTCGTCCGATTACTCCGACCCTGATGATTGTATGTTTATCGTGTCCTTTTTGCCACATTCTCTATCATTAAATGTAGAGGAGTGAGGTGTAAGATCTATTCCATTGCGGCCGTAGGACAGTTTCTCATTGCACCGGTAATGCAAACATAGGCTAGTATTTGTACATTTCTCCTAAACGGTCATGGTAATCGTCAAACTTGTCAGTATTGGGCTACGGACAATCCAAACTAGATTCAAAGTAAGTGAATATTTGAGCGGGAATAATAAACAATAAGATTATAGAACCATATTTTTTTTAAAGAAACCTTAAAGACCTTCATTATTTATTTACAAAACTTCTAGATTCTCTAATTGAACCAGTTGTTCCCAAACATGATTTGTGGCTGCAGTAAAATGGTGGACGTCCACACTATGTGCGATTTTGGTGAGAAACTACTTGGACAATGTCTTCCAAAATCGGTGAATAGGTAGAAGAGCACGATACACATATTAAAGGTATGCTGACTGTCGATTTAAAATTCGTCCAAACCGCGCATGACGTAATGCGGGACGAACTTTCAAGTTATTTTAACACTTTTCGATTATAGTGTAAAATAATTTAATGAGTTATTTGTTTTTGTGTTAGTAGTGACTATATTTTCCTATATATAACAGAGAAGAACTAAATTAATGTTTAAAATGCCGGGCTGCGCGGTGGAGATATTTCCGAATGCCACAAAATATGTGTAAATTCTTATCGAAGAAAGGACAAACTTAATTGAAGTTGCCCTATCCACTTTAAGGAGAGTAGTTGTGAGATTCCTCTTAAACATAGACGCAAGAAAAGGAAACTGAATTTCACCAGGTGAACGGGCCTCATTAAGCAACGGTCCTTTTGAAATAATGCCATGCATGAGCAGAACACGAACACATATAAGAATAAGATAAATGAACAGAAAAATTGGTTTTGAGTATTTTCAAAGTAAACTTGACAAAAAATGTTTAAATTTACCAAATAAAAAGTAATGTTTTTGTCTTATTTTTTATAGATAAATAATTTGTTTCTGCACATTTATTTTTATTTCACATAATAAGAAAAGAGATTGCAAGAGAACTACCACACTCAGAAAGTACAAATTTGAGTCAAACTTGTATTTTTAGTATATATTTTTTACTTATGGCCAGGTTTTGGATTTTGTCACAAAATACCTATAATTTACGAGAAAAATTAATATTTTTATTAATATTATTTACCTTAAACCTTCATATTTGTAAACGAATATATTACAAAATAACCAATAAAGCTTAAGTAAATACATAAAATCTAAAATTGGAAAAATATCGAATTTTAAACACTATCTCCCATTTACTGCTTATAATTCTGTCCCACGTTCCGTCACCGTCACTCAGCTGCATGCGCAGGAACATACCGTTAGTCTGTGTATCGTGTAAAAGAAGATCAATAGAATGGCCACCTAGGTCACTAGATTTAACTCCTCTTGATTTGTTTATAAGGACACTTAAAAGTAGACCACAAAATATCAATGAGCTCAAAGAACAGATACGCATTGACATTGCAAAAATAACTCCCGACAGTTATTGATAAAGTTCGAGAAGAGTTCAATGCTCGTCTTTCCCATTGTACCTATTGTAGTTAAAGGACATCAATTTGAGCACTTGATTTAAATTTGGTTGTAGTTAATAAATAATATTCATTCTACAAATTCATATAAGTACTCATACAGCACAAAAAAAATTTGGATATATTTCAAAAATGTTACATTGAAAAATTTGTAATGTACAAATATTACGAAAAGTCCCAGAAACATTTCTGAAATGTGCCTGAAACGGAAAAATTTCCTGTTAATATTTCACAGTAATATTTCTGAAATAAAAATTTTAAATCTTTCAGAAATATTATATGAGAGACAGACAATAAATTCTGATGGATATGGGATCATATGTTTGATCTCCGAAAATGGTATTTTGCATGTTTGCCATTTGATTTCGGCGAATGCAATGTAATGCCGCTATGCTATTATAATTTATTATAAAATAAAATCAATAAAACTACATGATTTAATTGAAAGCTAAAAATATACCCTAAACATTTTTATTTTTTAAACAAAACCAATTTTTTGTATTTGATGACATGATTTAAAAGAAATCAGTGTCCAAACGTTCAGGATTGAGGTATATCTACATACATACCCTTCCTTAACATCTTTAATGGCAATTTCAGCAGTGTCATAATTATTGGCTTCCATAGTTCTATACATATTCGACAGCTCCACTTGCCTCCTAAAATACATATCTACTGCAGACCCCTTTACTGTAGCACAAGTCAAATTCTCCATAGTATTTCTCAGCTACAAAATAACAAATTAATAAATAACGAAAAAAATAATAGTAGTTTTGGAACGTACTCTGGCGTCATTTATTCCAGTCAGTTTCGTTTTGGGCCTCTCCAACACTAGGAAAGCAGCTAAATTAGCTGTGTACGAAGCTACGATGATCATCGCAAAGCCTGCCCATACCATTCCTAAAACTCTAGCTGAAAAACTTCGAGGCGTTCCTAAAAATAATTTCATTGTAATACCTAGTCGAAATAAATTATCCGATTGGAATACCTTCTCCTATACCGCTGTTGAGGAGAACTCCCCAAGCGAACCAAATGGCGCTGGAGAGGTTTAAGGCATCTTCTTCGGTACCATCAGTATTGGCAAGTTTGAAGCGTCCAAATGGCGAAAAGCGGTCTAAAAGGTATAGCACCAGTGCCACTACATGTACCGAAACCATTACCAAAATCCATAATGTGTTGCTAAACGGTTGCAAGAACGATACCAAAGTTGATGATCTTGATGGCTGAAAGTTTAAATGGAATGGTTGAATATTTAGACACAATCGAACTTTCCACTTACTTTCTTTTCTAAAATAGTAATCCCTTGGTACTTGAACGGTTTACTAAATTCTATAAACTCTGCTCGCTCTGGATTAATAGTTAAGGGAGCGACTATCATTGCTGCTCTATCAGCTACCAACTCTCCTATCAATCCAGTCCATTCTTTCTTTCCACTGCCGGAATTATTTCTTATTAAATAGTTTCCAAATTGACCGTCAGGGGATAAAGCTAGACTGTAAGTAAAGTTGATTTTCTTTGAGAGCTCTTTGAGTAAGTCCATGCAGTAACCTTTACAGCAGTAAATGTTGGAAGCTAGAAATAATATTTTTTATGTATCTTTATTCTAGAGATGAAAGAAAGAAGAAACTATTTAAGTACGAGTATGTGTTAAAATTAATACAACTGCCTATGGTACCCTAAGGTCAGTCTGTAACAGCTATGAAAATACTATAAATAAAAGGGTTGATCGTCATATGCTCCACCCCTCAAGATGCAGTAGTCTGCCAGAAGTAAGTACAGTTTGACACATTGGCAATAATTTAGGTTATGTGTATAGAGTAATGCTGTAATTTCTGTAATCTGTAGAGGGATTCTCATCTTTCAAACCGTTACGTATCGAGACGCCTATCTTCGTTTTTTGACAAACCTCGTATACGGCTTAAAAAATTGATATTTGATAGTTGCATTTTAAGTTGTGGACCATGTAGAACCTTTTATCAAGAATAAATTGTTTCACAAAACCAATAATGAAAAAGTTTTCCATTTGGTTCCAAATTAGTAAGACATATTCATAGCAAACGAAAATACTGTTTTTGGTATCACAATTTATTTCAACTCAACTTTTATTATAACTCAATTCAACTTTAACAATAACTTCCAACTGATAACATTAACCTATAACGTCTATCATAAAACTTAAAACTGACGTCAGGATCATCCTTATATAGCTTGCTTGACCCTTCTAGAACCTTCTCGAACTGTCATCTAGAATATTCTTGACGGGTAATGATATTTACAGACATTTCGAGACTATTCCATCTTCTTTTACTTGTACTTTTACTTATAACGACCGCAGCACACAGTAAGGCGATGAATAACATTCCACTTCTTTTTCTATCCATGGAATTGAGCAATCTTCCCACGCCTGTCGATTCTAGCTTCTGCTTTATCGGTATGGGCTTTCAGTCATTCCCGAGCGAATCCATAGACCTTTGTCCTGCCATTGCATACATCACATTTTTACACCAATCCGCTACATCCCGTCGGCCATTGACCCAATAAAATCTTTCCAGAACTCGTGCCAGTGTTCTTTTAGTATCAAAGTGTCCTCCTGAACGGCGGCTATGAAGCTTCTCCAATACATTTCTCATCTGTGACCTGGGCAGTATCACTTGGCGGACTACATGTGCCCCATCGGGGCTCTCCCACTTCCGGTGCAATAGGCCATCGTAAAGATACAGGGAATCCCACTGGGCCCAGTAGCTTTTTATAGTTCTACTGTATTTGGCTCTCTTGCCAAGTAGGTGTAACTTTATTTTTGAGCCATTCTCGGACAGTCTTTAAGTCATTGTCTTTCTTCTGTCCCTGTCTCAGACTTTCAAGGGTGATTTCTTCTTCGTCGCCCTCTGGCTTAATAGTGGTTGCCCGAAGAGTAACTTTATCAACCAGTTCTACTCGTTCTTCGAGCCTTTTACCATACCAGCATTGTTCCTCCAAACGGGATTGCCCGAAGAAAATGTCTGCGTTGTTATGGAGACCTCTTCGATGCTCTACTTTCTGGTTATTATTAGAAAGCCGACTCGATATGGGTGATTGGCTTCTTTGGAACGCATAGCTGCTGTAATTAATTCTTGTTGATTAGTGATGGGCTTGGCAAGATTGATCTACATGATTTTCCGATCTCTTTCGCTGATTCTCGATTTAAGAATGAGCCATGCTTCTACAGGTTCTTTGAAGATGCCCGATTCTCCTGCAATTGAAGCATCTCCTGCTTCCATTTTGGCTATTTCGTTGCATATTTCGTAGGATATTTAAGATTTTGGGAATAGCATTAGTATTGGCCTCCTCACTTTCCTGGAATTTAATTTCCTTCACTTTTACGCGAGAAGATCTGGATAGAAGTTTTACCGCTTCATATTCCTGAGCTGCAATCAGTTTCTCCCTCAGCGTCTTGTGATGTTGTAGACGAAGGACTTGCTGCATTTCCACATCTTGTAGTCCATCAATGAATGCATCCGAGTTGTTCTTGGAAATCTTTCGGCACCTGTGGATAGGCCAGATGAATCAACCTTCTTATATCAGCCTCGAATTCCTGTAGACTCTCAGTATGTTTCTGACTACGAACCTTTAGCTGGCTTTGGAATACCCGTTGCAAATGCTGCTGCCCATATCTTGTCTCCAAAGCTTGGACGAGAGATGAATAACTGGGTTCCTCTTGAGGAAGTAACTGTAAAACGGTTGCTGCCTGACCTTGCAGTGACACTATCAATGAAGCCGCCATCTCTTTCTCGGTCCAGCCATTAGCTCTAGCTGCAGCTTCAAATTGGAGTCAATATGATTCCCATATTGTCTGACCGTCAAACGTGGGTGGCTTAAGGGTATTGCTAGTATAGTTTTGTGAAACTGGGATTCGAATGTGGCTTGGTTCGGTTATGGATGAAGACGAGGTAGTAGTGTTTGCAGCTTCAATGCTGTTTACTGAAGCTTGGCTATAAATTTTTTTTTCTAACTCAGCCATTTCAGCTCTAATTTGCCTTTCCAACTCTACTCTAGCCTAATCTTGTTGTTCTAAATTAGCTTTCAGATTATCTTGCTGTTTCTCTAAATTAGCTTTTAGATGCTCTTGTTGTTGCTCTAACAGATCTACTCTAATTTTAATCTGACTAACCTTTTGCTTGAAGGTTTCCTGGATTTGTAGCAAACCGTTAATAATTTCAACCTCAACTTTTCTACACCTCTCTTCCTTTTCTTTTTCTTCATCCATCCTGTGTCTCTCCTTCTCCTCTTCTCGCCTTTCCTTTTCCTTCTCCTCTTCCTTCCTATGCCTTTCCTTTTCCTCCTCCTCTTCCTTTCTACGCCTTTCATTTTCCTCCTCTTCTTCCTTCCTACGCCTTTCCTTTTCCTCCTCTTCTTCCTTTTTACGCTTTTCCTTGTCCTCCTCTTCTTCCTTCTTGCGCCTTTCCTTCTCCTCTTGTCGCCTTTCTTTTCCTTTTCTCGCCTTTTGCTATCCTCTTCCATCTTCAAAAACCATGCTGACGTCAGGATCATCCTTATATAGCTTGCTTGGCCCTTCTCGAACCTTCTCAAACTGTCATCTAGAATATTCTTGACGGGTAATGACATTTCCAGACTATCGGGACTATTCCATCTTCTTTTACTTGTACTTTTACTTATAACTACCGCAGCACACAGTAGGGCGATGAGTAACATTCCACTTCTTTTTCTATCTGTACGTTTCCTATAATAGCCGCAGGCTACTACAGTGTGCTACGTAACAATACTGAAAAATTCAAATTTTACACTTTTCCCCAAATTTCTCCATTACGGTCCATTTTAGAGAAATCATGTGTAAAACAAAAATTATAGAGAATGACATCACAAACAACTTTTATTTTAACAATTTTCTTGAAAATTCGAATTTTATACATTTTGTTGAATTTCTCGAATACAGGCCATTTTAAAAAAAAAAATATGTTAACAAAAATTATAGAGAATAACATTAGAAGTAACGTTTATTTGAAGAATTCTCTTTTCCAAGCATAAATAACAGATATATTCAATAAAGTAGAAAAACGAGCCCTATAAAGTACCTCCCCAGATGTTCCGACTATGCCCAAATTTAATCAGTTCTCCGCAGAATAAATTAAAGCTTAAATATAAAATTTGTTGTTTTCCTCTTTATCCGTTTTTGAGTTATCTTCAAAATTCAAAAATTTCCCATTTTCTCAAATATCTCGAGAAATTATGTATAGGACAAGAATTATAGAGAATAATATAGCAAGCAAGTTTTATTTGAAGAACTTTCTTTTCCAACAGATATATTCCATAAAGTTGAAAAAAGACCCCGTAAAATACCCCCTGTTGTTCCGACTATGCCCAAAATGTAATCAGCTCACCGCAGGATTTATTAAAGCTTAGCTTCAAATTTGGTGTTTTTCTCTGTATCCGTTTATGAGTTATTGAGTGCACACACATATTATATAAATAGATCAGGGGCGGAGAATAGAGATCAACTCCCGTATTACTTTTTTATTAAAGTACGTACGGTTTTAAATTTAATAGACCTTATTTAAATTATCGATATATTGAACTAACTTTCATCCGTTGTGTTGTAATGTGGACACTCTATCTCGTCAGGGGTGCAGCTGTCTTGGATTTCGACCAATTTTCTTACATACACAAACGGCTTTTCTTCAATAGTTAAGACCTTTAGATGCGTAGGAATTTCGATTCCTTCTGGTTTTTCTTTTTGTTTTCCTGGCCACATGATACTGTTTTCGTCCACTTTTAAATTCATTCTATTTAGGTCCTGAAAGAAAAATGATAGGTAGAAATATAAAAAAATATTAAAAAAGTAGGTATAAACTTTCAAGTAAATTTTTGTTTTGTTAAACGTGTTTAATTTGCTTTTTTCCTTATAACCACTTTTTGTGTTGATATTTTTTGAAAACTATAAGAATGATTACCTTACTGAAGAAATATTTTCCAACAACGACCTTTTTCTTCTTTCTTTGTATGTTAACCATATTATATTCTGAATTAATTCTATCGCCTTGATCGTCAAAGGCAACTTTGCCAGTTTCGCCGTTCAATAAAACTTGTTTCCTGATAAAATTAAACAAATCCTTCCCTGTTTCCCATATGGATCCAGAATTATCGCAGTCTTCTGGAGCTTCTGATATTTCTTTAGATTGGTTCATGTCTCTCAGTGCAGAAGCCAGTACGTATCTAGAAATTTTTCAATTAATTGAAATAATACACATTAAATATTTTTTCTAGTGTCACGGTTACCGCTTGCACTTTGATCTCGCCGAAATTGCAAAACTCGGAACTATATTATTGAGTTATAGTTAACATTAAGTAGAAACTAATAAATTTAAACTGTTCAATACTGATTTAAAAGCCCTTTCAAATGAACTTATCAGTTGAGACTCCTGTTGCTATTTAAACTGTTCAAAAGGATAGTTTCTCTGCGCAAGAGGTTGATATTAGTGTAACATTTTATTCTTGAAACATGTGTTTCATCAAAAATAAAAATCCCATTTCGTCAAATAGTTTACGCTCTATAAAAATATAAGTAGTCCAACAAAAAAACAGCCCATTGTATAATAATCATATTGTATTAGTAGGAATTATGTCATATAGAAAAGCGAATAAAAGTAAATAAACAATTATTATAATCACTCACTTCACTTTTCTTTGTCAAAATAATAACAGTTCAAAAAATCTATAGCCTATAAACAATTACGTCATCACTAATGCTAACGCTAATTGTCGAAATCTAAAAATATAAAAACTGTTTTAAACATGAATATCAATTTTTTTCAATCGAACGTTGAATAATTATAATCAATATAGCCATTTTTTGTTATTTTATTAGAAAGCGTGGCGTAAGTTTAGAGGGACATAAAAATAATTGTAAAACAGAGTGATACGAAGTTTTCTATTTTATATGAATGGATAGTGTTAATTTTTACTATCAATTTTATATTGTCGTGTTGCTAAAATATGTAAGAGCTAGAGATATCTTTATGTATAGTGACTAATCCAAATTAAGACACTTCATTGAAATTTTGTGACGAAAAAGCGAATTTGGATGACGATTTTTATTCTTTCTACTACTGACATTTTTTATATTTCTAAATTGTAAACAGTCGGCTGTAGTAGTGGTATCCCGCCACTCAGGTTTACGGTAAAGCATAAATTTATTGAGAGCTGGGAATGACATCCTCTTGATTGCCGACAGCCGAAAACTACTCACCCTTCGTTAGTATCTAGTGAATACTCCGTGAAGTGCCGTGATTTCGGAAAAGTTAATTGATTGATCCCGTTTAATTTGCTAAGGTAGGAACCGTATATTATTTTTTTTATATTGGCTTTTATATAATTAGTTATTGAATGAAGTCAGACGACTTCTGTAAAATTAAATTCACACACACGCTCTCGATCGACTCGGGGCAAAATTCAAAAATATTATTTTCTACAATCGTCGTCGCCGCCGTCAAAACACCGCGTAAATAACCATATTTATCAGTAGGCGAAAATTTTCGCTTCCCATCGCTTGGTTATTAAGATACAAGGGGTCTCCGACAATTTTGATTTCATTTATTTGCTTGCATTTGATTACCGTCATATTTAAATTGTTTCAAGTGTACTAATTTATTTTCCATAAAGTTTCCGTATGCTGGGCATTTCACGATTCCCAGTCCGATTAGCCTCCTGTGCTAATAAACCATAAATATTTCCCTATGTTTAAATAATTTATTTTTCATAAATTTTCCGGATATAGGGATCCGTCAATATTTTAATAGTTTTCAATTTTAATAATTTATTTTTAATACATTTTCAAATACAGGGAGTTTCATAATTCCCAGACCGCTTAGCCTCCTGCGCTAATAAACCATAAACATTTCCCTACATTTAAATAATTTCCAATTGTAATAATTTATTTTTCGTAAATTTTCCGGATATAGGGATCCGTCAATATTTAAATGGTTTCCAATTGCAATAATTTATTTTTCGTAATTTTTCCGGATATAGGGATCCGTCAATATTTAAATAGTTTTCAGTTATAATAATTTAATTTTATTAGATTTTCCGAATACAGGGAGCCGTTCATATTTATTTACCGTTGTACTTATTTTTTGGTAAATATATATTTTATTACCTATTCCTGTATTTCTCTTATAACTGGTTCTTAACCGTTCTCTTTCAGGGTCTCGTAGGGTACGAGGTGTAAAGGAGATAAGTGTTTTATTTTTATTTTTTCTGGTATAGTGGCTACCTAACAGTGACCGCCTGGAATTATTTACCTCCACTGAGTTCACCTTGTGGTGTACCACAGGGTCGCAGAGCAAACTGCGATACCAAAACTGGCGCCTGAGTAACCCCTATTCGGGAATCACCATCATAGCGCCATACAGACTCGCTGAATCACTGTAGGTGAACCAGAAGCCTGTCACAACATAGTCGTCCGAAAAACTCAACTTTTTGTCCTTGTATAGTTAACTACTATTACTTACATGCTATCTCTAATATGAGCTTTTTCGTTTGTCGCATTGACGAGTTTCAATCCTAAAATTCCTTCTGGGACATTGTCAGCTTCGAGTGCTTGTTCTGTGACTATCCAGGCAAAACCAGCGTCTGTCATATTAAATAGTGCAGCATCTCTGAATATCACTTTTGCATCGTGTTTGCTAAAAAAAACGAAACAAACGAATTAGTAGATATTTGTTATTTTAGGTACAATAATAATATAAATATTTTAATATGTGGCTGCTTCGGCAGAAAACAAAAAAAAAACAAAAAACAACAAAAAAATAAATAAAAAACAAAAAATACAAAACAAAAAAAACAATAAAACAAAACCAAAAAAGATAAAAAAACCATAAAAACCAAATAAACAAAAAAAATTAAAAAAAAATTAAAAAAAAAACGTAAGAAAAGCAAAGAAAATAATTAAAAAAAAAACAACAAAAAAACAAAAAAACAAAAAAACAACATAAAAGTAAGGAACTTTAATTTATTATGAATAAAAATCAACTTACTAAAATACGATTTGACCTACCTAGCATACAATAAATAAACACGAGATTGTGCATTTTTCAATTCCAATAATTGATCTTTAAAACTGTCCAGTCCTAATTCAAATTCGATTACTGATTCCACCTAAAAAAATATGTAATTTTATTGAGGTTATTAATTTCTTTTTATTTCATAAAAATGAGATGAATCAGAGATGCTTTTTTATAAATTCGTGTAACCACTGCAAATTTAAAAGCTGAAGGAACAGTATACGATTTTAAAATGGTATTCATTAAATGTCATAGAAGGTATCCTAAAGGACCCCGCAATTTTTATATTGATTTTGGGTACTGTTAGAATTTGTTCAAATAGTATTGTCATGAATTCCTAATCCGACCCTGTATACGCACGCAATCAACTCGTGATCGAAGCAACGCTGACGTGTGGAAACAGCCGGACCGCGTCTCGAATGTACAAGAATACAACGGAATGTCTGCCGCTGATGCACTGGAAGCGACTGGAATGGTGGAGAGTGCCGCTTAGTCATAAAAAGGAATGTTCGAGAGCCTCTCGTATCTTCCAGTAGCGGAGTTGGACTAATATAAATAGCCGACGTATCAGCGCCTAGTTTAGTGGAATATAGAACATTGTATTAAAAAGTGTAAGAAATAAATTAGAATTGTTAGTTAGTGTCTAAATATTATATAAATTAAATAGTACGTCTGAAATAAATTGTAAATAGTGTTTTTAAATAAATAAACTTTAAATAAATTAGACTTTCGTCACAGTATGTTACTTTTTAGGTCATTGTGGGCAACTTCCTTATGGACCTCAAGTTTGCAGTTCTACAGGGTGAGCTGTTAGAAGGAGTCAAAAGTAAGGAGTGCAGAAAAAATGTCACATATTTCTTCTACCACTCTTAAGTAATTCAAGTTTTTTCTATGAAAATTGTGGCAGCATCGAAAATAGTCCTTAATAAAACAATCGAAGGGTACTTTATATAATTTTCGAACCGTTAGGATAACAGTAGGCCTTCTTACTGGACACTGTCGCCTCAAAAGGCACATGAGTGTCATCAATCCAGCAGAAGAAGCAACTTCGTGCAGGTTTTGTAAAGAAGAAGAAGAGGAAACATCATTCCACGTCCTGTGCCAATGTGAAGGCCTGGCTGAAATGAGGTTTCTAACATTGAGCGAAGAAATGCCAAATGCATGCAACTACATGCGGGAGCCACTGTCAAAGCTACTAAGTATAATAAAAGACCAGACATACTCTAAAACAAACGGAGTTCCACAATAAATCTGAAAAGGTCGCGGTGGACAAGGACAAATAACGTCCAACTCCTAATCTTATCTAATGGTAATGCATGAAATATGGACCATATTTCAGTAACTGATATTCCTAATTTTTTGAACACACGGTATGATTTATTTTGCAAAGTTTAAGTCAGCATGAACAAACTATATAGAAGTGTAACACATGACATAAGTTTCATGGAAAAACAAGAATTAACCTAAGAATGGTGAAGATAAATTGAAAAATATTAATTCTGCCTTCCTTACTTTTGAATCCTTCTAACAGCTCACCTTGTAGAGCTGTAAACTTGAGGCCCATAAGAAAGTTGCCTTTAAAGACCTAAATAATAACATACTAAAAGGACTCCGCACTTTTTACATTGATTTTGGGTACTGTCAGAATTTGTTTAAATTTTAGTATGGTACTTTTCAGGTCTTTAAAGGCAACTTTTTTACGGGCCTCAAGTTTACAGCTCTACAAGGTGAGCTGTTAGAATGATTCAAAAGTTAGGAATGCAGATTTAATATTTTTAAATATATTTCCACCATTTTTGTTAACTGTCAGAATTTGTTCAAATTTTAGTATGTTATTTGGTCTTAAAGGCAACTTTCGTATGGACTTCAAGTTTACAGCTCTACCAGGTGATTTGTTAGAAGGATTCAAAAGTAAGGAATGCAGAATTAATATTTTCAAATATATCTCCACCATTCTTAGGTTAATTCTTATTTTTCCATGAAACTTTTGTCATGTGTTACACTTGTATATAGTTTTTTCCTGCTGACTTAAACTCTGCAAAATAAATCATACAGTGTGTTCAAAAAATTAGGAATATCAGTTAGTGAAATATGGTGCATATTTCATGCATAACCATAGTTAGATTATGACTTCTGACCATTTATTTGTTTCATTTCATTCTAGATAACTTTTATGTAATACAGGGTTTGATAGATCTGCATAAACAATTAATAATTACAAAAACGAATTTAACGAAAAACTTGGTGTATAAATTAAAGGTGGATACAAATTACAATTGGTACTACATTGAGGAGTTTCACAGTTAAAACTTCCAATAATATTGTTAACGCTTTCAACAAAATAGGTATTAAATCTCTCTGCAGTTTCAAAAGCGTTGTGGCTGAGCATATTTCCATCAGGACCATCAAAAATTATGTTAAATGGTGAATTATATATATTTACATTGATTAATTTTTTAACGTCCGCCACATTTGAGGATAAACTAAAAGAGATGGAGAAGAAAGAAGAACTGAAACAAAGAATAGACCAAGGACGGTGAACTAAAGTGCCATGAGGTGGAGTTAAAGTTGAAATTGGAAGGAGTTGTCATTTCTGCCTACGTTAAAGCCCCAACTTTCATGTCAATATCATGGACCTTAAACAGTGCAAAACAGCTGCCAGAGCAAACGAATGGTCTGAACGAGAGAAGGCAGTAAATTTGACGATCGCTCTTTGAGGAAACGCTTTAGATGTTCTTCAGACTATACTTGTGGAAGGGGATTAAACATGCGATATGGCCACGAACACTTGGAGAATCGCAAACAGAAACGTGACGAGAGCCTTTAAGAATACGAATTTGCCTACCCATCAGCTCCGGAATACATGATTAAATGTTTGGCTGTTCAGACATTTGTTGATGGACTTCGCGACCATGAAATGCAAAGAACACTTTGTTTAGCCCGTCACAAAACATTGGTCGATGTTTTGTCCGCTGTTCTTCAATATGAAGCGAAAACGCAGGCTTCTGGTGAATAAAGTGAAGTATGGACTGTAAAAGAGAAAGAAGATGGAAAAAATTCAACCAATTGCTTAACATGATAAAAATCCTTATCGAGAAGCAGCCGAAGACTATCAGAGTCACCTGTCATGTTGGAACCTTCAAAGCACAATGAACGTGTTAGTCAAAAAGGCAAAAAGTATCGAAAGGTTTTTGTTAAAATTTTCAATTCATATTAGATAAAAACAAGTTTACGTATTATGTAACTTGATGGACATGATACTATAATCGAACTTTGTTGTAGAACCTTAAATACTTTTTAAAATGATTACCTGTACTTTTATGTCCACATCGTCTTCTAAGCTTTGAGAAGTAGTTTGGAATCTTCCCAATAAAGCACGTCCATCAGTATCTGAACTATGAATAAATATGACTTTTTTGTATTTGAAATGCTTCAGCATTTCCACCCACACGTCGGCTTGATGGGAATATGGCGGAACAGTTCTCAAAAAAGACACATGGATGTTCTACAAGATAATGCGTTTTAAAAATTACCCAAACATTTATAAAATAATACTTCAAAATGTAATTAAAATTAAATAAAAAGTTATGAGACTTACTTTGTCAGAAAATGCCGAATCTCTGGATGATATTCCAATGACTGGAATGTGATAAAATCCACTGGTATAAGATACTGCGGCAGGTGATAAGTCCCCTGTAACTGGATGTGATACAACTACTGCATATACCTAAAAGTAAATGTTTTCAACAACCGTTTATAAATATCTATTAACGGTTAATTTTTGTTTAAAGATTTTTTTTTTGAGCTGTGTTTTGTTATTATTTAGGATTGTTTGTTTTAGGAAAAACAAATGTGTTTCGAATTTTAAATCAGCCATCTTCAGTGCAGCTGTTAAAATCGGACAATTGAATATATCGTGAGTCGAGATTAAATACTGTTATTAATTGCTTCGACATGTATTATTGGTTTTCAAAAATATCGATGTCAGGAATAACAAAATTCAAATATCGAATCCAACGGTTCATGCTATTTGATAATTACAGAAGAAAATTCATGATTTCGATGTTATGATTAATACGATTTGAATAATTATGAATTTTAAAAATTTAATTTCCAAAATTTTAAATAAACTGAAAAATACTAACCTTTCTAGATATTAAATATTTGCAAACGTTCAAAGCTGTGCGAATTGGATTTGGGTCCATCAATATCGCCGTGTGATAGTACGTGACCCCTTTTGGGACATATTGGGAGTCAAAATTTAAGTGCTGAAAATAACCACATTGTTCAAATAGGTACCTATCTATACCTACAAATGTATAAAGTACATACAAAAAAATTGGATGGTTTTTCACTGTACCTCGAAAATTAAGATGACTTATAGAATTAAAGGAAACGCCAAAATCTCAAAATATACAGTGTATATAACATATACTAATACTCATATAACAAAAAATAATAGGCGAATAGCCCACCGCTGATCAATAATAAGTAGTGTACCCATTAAGGAAAGTATAGTTCGAGCATCTGGGGAGGGAGTTACTTTATAGTGGGAATTTTTCTCCTTCAAGGTATATTTTTGTTGTTTATGTAAAGAAAATTCTTTAAATTAGAGTTATTTGTAATGCCATCCTCTATAATTTTTGTTTCTCTAAAAAGAACAGCAATGGAGAAATTTGAGGAAAACTTAAAGATATGATTAAATGTTTTGAATAATTTTTATATTTATTTCATATCCTAAATACTTTTTGATTAGATATATTTTATAACTTTAGAGGAAAGTTATATCATATTTTTTTACTTAGCTTTTAAAAAGGATAAAATATGGACGGAAATCTGTTTTTTTTTTATCTTGAAAAAAAGGAAAAGAAATTTTTCGTGGTTAAGAATATTATATACCTATTCTTTTTTTAATGTATTGTATGTCTCCTTAATATCTAACTTTTGACATCCTTGGTATGTTTACTAAATATCCCGGGACGTTAGGATCTGAAACAGATTTTTAACGGACGTCCCACGGATATTTTGTGCTATTTGGGATGCTTACTTTACGTAACTTATTTGAATAATAAGAGCTTTCAAAAGTTCAATCAGATTTGAATAGTGTCACTTTAAATGTGAAATTAAAAAACAAAAAACGATTCTCGTAACTTTTTTACTTTCCGTTCTGATTAATACTTACAGCGATAGTTTCTTGGAAATATTTTTCGCTCTCATTGCTGCTGAGCACACCCCCAATATTAAAAACAGTGGGATTCGGTGAGTTATTCCAATCTCTTTGATTTGCCGTCGATATTAAAACAGATCCGAAACAAATAGAAATATAAATAATTAACTTCAACATCGTTTTAAATGGTTTATCTACAGATTAACGATTATTCGGTAAAATGATGATTTTATAGCACCTCTTCCATCGCTGTAGCCATAGCGACTGCTCTGTGAAGATGATATCGATTTTATAATGGAGATGCTCACATGGCCCAAATCACTTTTAAAACGATAATAATATAAGTGTTTGTAGTTTTTGCAATAATAATAATCATTGATAAATCTGTAATCCACATTCTCTCGGCGGTAACACCTATAATAAGTAAAACAAAAATTAATCAACGTTTAGTAACACATTATTATTTTGATTTAAAAACGGATTATTTTGTTATTCACGATTTGAATTGGCAAATCCATAGAAAATACAATTATGTTTGAAAAAGCATGACTTTAATACTTCCCCCCTTTGGGATATTAAAATCAATTTTTACTTATTATAAAGGGTCTTTTTCCTCTGGTGTAAAGTAGTAAAGTAGTTTAGGATTCGATGCAAAGTTTGATGCAAATTTTTGAATGAAGTAATACTCAAAAATATATTTAACTTAATTTATTTTTAAATAATTTTTTTATTTCGTCGTTTCTTTTTTATATAAATGACCTTACTGAGATACTGTCGTTGCAATAACTAGGGTAGTTTATGCAGTCTAATTTTACTAGAATGGTGCAAGATCAGTACCAGCGAACTACCCCTTATGTTCAAAACTACATACGTCGCGCGAAGATTGAGAGATAATTACTTAAGATAGTCCAACCTTGTAACATCAACCATAATATATCAATTTAAAAATGTGAAACTAACCAAACGGACACTAACCCCAATCAGCTGAACTGTTAATGTATTAGCTAGTGAAAGTGAATCGGCATTTCGATCAACCAGATTCTTAAATAATTTTAGTGCCATAGAATATAACGGCAAATGCATTCTGGAGCGTATCCATCTGGCAATACCCAAATGTTATTGAATGAATAATAAATTTCTATAATAATAAATAATATAATAATAAACTTTTAAGTTATTGAATCATCTTTTTCTAATATTTTTATATTGTTGTTTTTGTTGTTGTTGTTATTGTTGTTGTTATTGTTGTTTGATATGGGAAGCGTTGCTTGTATGGGGATATTTAGCCGGGGCGTCGGGACGTGAAACCGTCGGACTGTGGAACGTCAGGCTGTAGAGGCATCGGAACGTAGAGCACCAGGACGTAGAAACGTCGGGACGTGGATCGCCGGGACGTAGAATGACGTAACGTAGAAACGTCGGGACGTAGAAGCGTCGGATCAAAGAGGGGCTTGACGGAAAAACGTCGGATAGAAGAGGTGTCGGATACGGGAAGTACTAACCTCTGAATTAGACTGAATTTTGAATTCAATTGAATTAGGCTGTATCTTAAAATCAAATTAATCGTGAGTTATTCGGGATTGCGTATTTATAGAGATTTTATCAAAGGCTTTTTTTACCGATATTGATGATATCTGGGCTAGGATAAAATTTTATTTGAATGAATATTAATTCGTTAAAAGAATTACGATTTATGAAGGTTTTAAGACGAATTACCATTGGATAATTTTTTATCGTATGAAATTATTGAACATGTACCTGCAGGGTTATTCTACTAAATTTATAGCCCGGCTACAAGTTGGATTTTGGCTTGAACTTTATATGTTCCTGACTTCAAAATCCAACATGTAGCCGGGCTATAAATTTAGTAGAATAACCCTGCTGATAAGTTAGATACTGCTAGAACATAGAGAGTTATTGATTTTATTTATTAAGCATCACAGATGTACTTTAATTATTTAAAAAATTTTTCGCCAAAAAGAAGAAATTTGAATTTAAATGGATTGCAATTTTTTAATGTATTAATAAATTTATCACAATACATTAAGATGAAAGGAGTTCCTTTAACAATAAGAGAATATTTCAATCTTAAAATGTATAAGGCTAATTAAAATATTATTAAAGCCTTACCGTCTAATTGTTTCAATAATTAATTTTTCGTTAAATTTGTCTGCATACAGATAAGGACAGTATAGGAATCATGATTTTTTCGACCTCGAGTTTTCGACGGATTTTTACGTTTTAGGGTCCCCTGAATCCCTTTTGACTATTTTCGCGATGATGTCTCTGTGTGTGTGTGTGTGTGTGTGTGTGTGTGTGTGTGTGTGTGTGTGTGTGTGTGTGTGTGTGTGTGTGTGTGTGTGTGTGTGTGTGTGTGTGTGTGTGTGTGTGTGTGTGTGTGTGTGTGTGTGTGTGTGTGTGTGTGTGTGTGTGTGTGTGTGTGTGTGTGTGTGTGTGTGTGTGTGTGTGTGTGTGTGTGTGTGTGTGTGTGTGTGTGTGTGTGTGTGTGTGTGTGTGTGTGTGTGTGTGTGTGTGTGTGTGTGTGTGTGTGTGTGTGTGTGTGTGTGTGTGTGTGTGTGTGTGTGTGTGTGTGTGTGTGTGTGTGTGTGTGTGTGTGTGTGTGTGTGTGTGTGTGTGTGTGTGTGTGTGTGTGTGTGTGTGTGTGTGTGTGTGTGTGTGTGTGTGTGTGTGTGTGTGTGTGTGTGTGTGTGTGTGTGTGTGTGTGTGTGTGTGTGTGTGTGTGTGTGTGTGTGTGTGTGTGTGTGTGTGTGTGTGTGTGTGTGTGTGTGTGTGTGTGTGTGTGTGTGTGTGTGTGTGTGTGTGTGTGTGTGTGTGTGTGTGTGTGTGTGTGTGTGTGTGTGTGTGTGTGTGTGTGTGTGTGTGTGTGTGTGTGTGTGTGTGTGTGTGTGTGTGTGTGTGTGTGTGTGTGTGTGTGTGTGTGTGTGTGTGTGTGTGTGTGTGTGTGTGTGTGTGTGTGTGTGTGTGTGTGTGTGTGTGTGTGTGTGTGTGTGTGTGTGTGTGTGTGTGTGTGTGTGTGTGTGTGTGTGTGTGTGTGTGTGTGTGTGTGTGTGTGTGTGTGTGTGTGTGTGTGTGTGTGTGTGTGTGTGTGTGTGTGTGTGTGTGTGTGTGTGTGTGTGTGTGTGTGTGTGTGTGTGTGTGTGTGTGTGTGTGTGTGTGTGTGTGTGTGTGTGTGTGTGTGTGTGTGTGTGTGTGTGTGTGTGTGTGTGTGTGTGTGTGTGTGTGTGTGTGTGTGTGTGTGTGTGTGTGTGTGTGTGTGTGTGTGTGTGTGTGTGTGTGTGTGTATTTGTATCCACCATAACTCATGAACCGATACACCGAAAAACACCAAATTTTAAACTTAAGCTTTATTCCAGCGTCCAATGAACTGATTAGATTTTGGGCAGAGTCAGAACATCTGGGGGGGTACTTTATAGGTGGTCATTTTTATATTTTATGGAATATATCTGTTATTTACGTTTGGAGAAGAAAATTTTTCAAATAAAAGTTACTTCTAATATTATTATCTATAATTTTTGTTTTATACAAAATTTTCATAAAATGGTCAGTATTCGAGAAATTTTACAAAATGTAAAAAAAAATTTTATAAAAATTGTTCAAATAAAAGTGAATATATCTGTTATTTATGTTTGGAGAAGAAATTTGTTTAAATAAAAGTTACTTCTAATATTATTATTTATAATTTTTGTTTTATGTCAAAATTTCATGAAATGGTCCGTATTCGAGAAATTGGACAAAATGTGCAAAATTCTGATTTTTATGAAAATTGTTGAACTAAAAGTTGTTTGCGATATCGATCTCTATAATTTTTGTTTATACATGATTTTTCTAAAATGGACCGTAATGGAAAAATTGTAGGAAAAGTGCTAAATTTAAATTTTTCAGTATTTTCGTTATCAATGAATATCTATAGAAAAATCTGATGTGTCCAACACATGACTTTCCTTTCTAATTATTATAGGCTTTTTCCGGTTATTTTGTACAACCTATTGCAGCACCTCTATAAATGTTTAGAGGATGAACTAAATATATACATTTTCCACATACATCTACCTCGAAACAATTTTCTATAGATATTCACTGTATACAGATAGGAAAGTCATGTGTTGGACACATCAGATTTTTTATTTTTTAAATTTTGACTGCACCCGAAGATGGAAAAAAATTCCGAAACATATGTAGTGCTATGCTAAATGACTGAAAATAAAAACAATGACTGAATAAACCAAGGAAATTTTTATTTATATAAAATTCTGCTACGGTCAAGAAATTATCCTTTTTTTAGTCTTCTGCTAGTGGTGTTGTTAAGTGTTATTTTTCTTTTCAGTGGCGATCTTACATCCATTATTGATAAATATTGTTATGTGAGCCATTTCATTATTCAGTCATGCTCTAACCCTACAAGTCCCTCTCTGTCTTATTTGGCCTTTGAGGCTCAACTTGTCCGATTATTATACATAATTAAACCCCTTAAGACCAAACCTATGGGACGACTATGGTGGAGACACTTTCGCGAACATTCCAGAGTCAACGAGATACTATTTCTAGAACGTGATAACGTTTCTGGTACATACTGGTAATTTTGGTGGGGGAGCATTCTAGACCACCAATTTGTATATAAATTGGTGGAGGAGAGCCATCAGAATCAGTTGTTATATGGACAGTGAAGATAAATAGTAATTAGTAGATAGACAGTGGTGAATATAAATAGTGATCAGTCTAAAGACATTCGAAGTATATATAAATTAGAATAGTTGTGTTATAAAATAAATAAGTGTTTAAATAAATTATTAATAAATAAACTGTTGTTTTAAAGTAAACAAACATCACAATATTATTCAAAATTATATATATATATATATATCATATCACATATAGTATGTTTTATCACACATCTTTTCCAAACAGCACATCAAATCCTTTGGATATCTACTGCACATCCCAATATCCACTGAATGTCCATGGTGGATATCTATTTTATATCCATGATATGTAATTTATAGACATGCAAATGTCCATAAATAATAGTAATTATATAGCAAATTATTAAAAAATTATGCCATTGTGCTCGCCATTGTGGCTCATAGTACCGTTCAGATATTTAAAATTAATTTTTTTAAGGTGTATTCAATATCCCATGGACATCCACTAAATATATC